TTTTTTAAATTATTCTTTTATATATTAATTTATTTTTTAAGGTTTTTATTGTGGATTGTGTAAAAGTTTACGGGGCAGACCATCAGTTTCACATTCAGCAAATCATACACCCTGTTTCATTACAATGATAATAATCCCCTCCGTGTACCATCAGTTAACAGTATTTCTCTCTACTCCTGTAGCTTTTTTTAACAACAAAACAAAAACCACTCAGGCATTTATAATAATTTAGACCTCCAAAAGGGCACATTCTGCAAGTCTGCCTCCTGGCCACCAGCTCTTAGTCCCTCTCTTCCCATGAATCTGGAGTCCTCAACCACTCCTTCTCTCCTTGTCCTCATCTCTGCCTTTGTCTTGGGTGGTGCTGCTTCTCTGGATAAGGTCCCCCATTCCACTTGTGCTCTTCTCCCTTAATGGTCCTAGGGTCCTCTTTTCTGGACTGTAAGATTAACCACTTCCCTGTATTTGTTGCAGAATTTCTACCTTTACAATTGGGATAGTCGCAATTAGTCATGATAACAATTACTGACTATTGAATCATACGATTCTTGTCCCCATCTCTTTTCACCAGACTCATCTAGACAAATAAAAACTATTCAGTTGGAACTCTTTCTCCCTCTTCTCCCCCCCCCCCCCAAACTAAACTCCCTCTTGAAACCTTGTAAGCCAATCACTAGGTACCTTTATCACCACCTCATTTTAGGTAGAAGTTGCCCATCCCTGTCTACCCTGTGTACAGAGGGGATAGCATTGATACTTGATGTGAAGACTCCTTCCCTCTCTGTTGGTATTCAGCGTTACTACCTCCATGAGTATAGGTCAGGTTCATCAAATTGTAACAATTTACCCTTGTTTCCTTTATCTAAAAAAAAAATTTTTTTTTTTTTTAAATCATCCTCTGGTCGAGTTCTGATTATCAAGCCAAGAAGTCTAGGTCAAATGGGTACTATTGGCAAGTTTAGGTGTTCTTGTGCATCTCCCCTCAATTCATATCATCTGGATGTTTCACTCTCAGCTCTAGCCCTCTGTGGCTATATCCTTGTCCATGGGCTCAAGTGTCCCCAGGTCTCACCACACTTGGGACCAACCAGTCCTTCCTCTTCTCTCATCTCCTGGTCATCAGGGGTCAGTGGACTGTGGTTGAACTCAGCCCATTCTTCATTGCTGCCTTTCCCCCTCTTCTGCTCACCAGTGGACCAGTGTGGTAGCCAGCAAGCTTACATGCCCGTTCATGTGTTCCCTTTGACTTTCAGTCTTAGAAGTCCTGAAGGAACTTGATTGCTTGCCTTGATGGCTTCTTGGAGAACAGCTTACATATTCTTGTAGTAGCCAGTCATGCTGACTTTTTTTTTTTTTTTTTTCATTATTAAGACTAGTTTTATTCTCAAGATGATGACATTTTTGTGTGTTTTTTTCCTGATGATCTTTCTTTGAAGATGTATCTTCTGTTGCTCTAGCTGTTCCAGGCTGGTCTGCTTGTCCTTTCTAGTAGGAATGTCCTACCTCAAAAGGTTCTGGATGGGCCTCAGGTTTCCACCTAAGGTGCTATACTCTGCAAAGGTTTTGCAAGAGGCCTATTTCACTGGGCAAGTTCTAGAACCCCTTTTAGGTATTCCAATCAGTTATAGGCTGAAGACGGGCTTAGTAGTTTTCTCTAACCATGTTTCTCAGCATTCCTTTCTATCCCACTCAAGTGTCTATTTTACATAGTAGGCAAGGGAAACCAATATTCATAAGACAGTCAAGCATTTTAGTGTTATTTCCCCTCTTCAAGCTGTACCTAGATCCCTGTGTCCCTGTTGTTCCAAGGTTGAGCATGCTTCACTATTTACTTCTGTCCCACTTAGGCCATGTAAACCTGTTTCAGTGTTCCCCTATCTATCTTGTTCTTCTACCTCCTCCCTCTTCTTGTATTGCCCTCCCCAACACCAGAACTAAACCCCATCCCCCACCCCAATCCCACTGTTGTGGTTACCTTATATTTAAGACAGTCTATTTTATCCTGTGATCTACCTGACCTTCTCACCACCTGGATCTCTGTTCCTCTGTGTTTACCTTCTTTCACCTTGTAATTGCTTTGAACATAGACTGACCTTCCAGATCCTCTGTTCTTATCATTTTATTCTGTTCTTGACTCTTTAATTTGTGGAGTGAGTTCAGGGTGATGTTGCCACGTACATCATTCTCTGATGTTGTTGGTTCTCAGTTTTTCATAGCAGGGTTGGCTTTGGCAAAATCCCTTAGCTTCTTTTATCCTGGAATGTTTTGATTACACCATCGTATTGGATTGACAGCTTTGCTGGGTAGAGGATTCTTGGTTGGAAGTTTTTTCGTTCAGGGTTTTATATATGTCTCCCCATTGCCTTCCTGCCTGCACGGTTTCTGTTGAGAAATCCAAGCTTAATCTGACTTGCTTGCCTTTGTATGTTATCCTTCTCTTTTCCCTAGCTGCTTTCAGGATTCTGTCCTTATCCTTGATTTTGGAGAGCTTGATTATTATATATTTTGGTGACTTTCTCTTAGGGTCTATCTTTCCTGGGATTCATTGAGCTTCTTGAATGCTTATCTTTTTGCATTTCAGGATGTTAGGAAAATTTTCTTCCAGCGTCTCTTCAACTATCTCCTCTCTGGACTTGTATGATTCTTCCTGTTCTGGAATGCCAGTAATTCTTAAGTTATTCCTCTTCATGTTTTCCAACATGAATCTTAGGCCTCCTTCAGATTTTTTTAATCCTTTTTTGTGTTTGCTCTTTTATCTGAGTAGTTTTGAGAGATTTATCTTCTAGCTCACTAGTTCTGGCCTCTATCTCTTCAATTCTACTCGGTTGCCCTTTCAGTGTATTCTCCATTTCTGATATTCTATTATTAATCATTTGGACCTCTTTCTGTAGGTTTTGAATGGTTTCCAATGCTGTATCTATTTTATTTGATTGTTCCTGTAGTGCTTTCCTGACTTCTTCCTTATGTTTCTCAACACCATTGTATAATGTTTTGATACATTTTATAATCATTTTTCTGAATTCCTTCCCAGGCATTTCCAAAGCCTGCCCATCTTCCAGTATGGAGTGTAGGTCTGCTTCTAGCTCAGTTTCCTCAGTCACTTTATCACGTTTCTGGACATGTGCTGATGTGGTCATCAGTTTCTGTTTTGGGGGCATATTCAGGAATTATCTGTGGCCTTAATACTTAGATGGGTATGTATTTTGGTATTTTTTTGCTTTCTGATTGCCTCCAGGTAGATGTGATCAGGAGATGGGCTTCCCTTTTCACTCTTCTTCCTGAGAAATTTCAAGATGCTATTGTTGGTCATTGTGATGTAACTCAGGATTTAATTTTCAGTCTTTTTCCTTGTTAGTCTACCTGTTCTGTTCCACATACACAATCCCCGTTTAGGCCTTTTTCCCAGTGATAAACAGTTCAGATCTGGCTGTGGCTGTTTTTCACTGCCATTTGGTTTTAAGTGGAAACTGTCACTTTAAATTTTGAGGAGATCTGTGTGCATGTGTAGTAGAGCCCTGTGGGGGGTGGGGTGTCCACTCACTCAGGCACCCCTTCTAGTCATTAGAATGGAGGTGTGCAGACAGTGAGAGACCAATGAACAGATAGAAAAAAAAGAATGTCCACACCATTATCTGCGCGGTTCTGTCAGGTGTCCGTGGCTGCTTTGATCCTTCACCCACTTGGTCTCTCCCAAGATGGTGGCTCCGGGAACAGCTGAGCGTCTTGGATTAGAAAGCAATGGATTTCTTGTTTCTGCTACAAATTCCCTTAGCTGTAAGCCTTCCAACCTTCTAAATATTCCTTTATATGTGGTTCAGTGTTCTGGAACCGTTCCCTGAGCCTACTTAGTCCTACAATCTGTGTTGTTGATGACTGAGCTCCTCACTACATTTCCACCCAATCTGCCATCTTGTTTGTTCTCCCCTCTCCACAAATTTTTTGAAGTCCACAAACTTTCGTACATTTGTTAGGGTTGAGTTATAAGTGTGTCAGAGGTGAATTGTTAGTTGTTGGTGCCGTTGAGTTGGTTCTGACTCATAGTGACCCTGTACAGTGTGTGTTGGGAGAGTTATAATTGTGTGTCAGGAAGGATTATAAGTGTCTTAGAAGTAATTAAATAGTAAGTGTGTGTCAAGGAGAGTTACGAGTATGTATCACAGGTGAATTGCCAGCGTGTGTTGAGAGGAATAATAAATGTGTTTTGGGTAGAGTTATAAGTGTGTGTCTGGCGGAAGTCATTATTATGTTCCAGAGGTGAGTTATAAGTGGAAGTCAGGGAAGTTGTAAGTGTGTGTATGGGGAGTTTTATGCATAAGGATGTGTAAAGGTCGAATTATCCATGTGCATTTGGGGAATTGTAAGTGTTGAGGTATGGTTGTAGCATGTGATAAGTATGTTCAGTGTGAGTTTTACGTGTATTGGGAGGAGTTCTAAGCATGTGCCAGATGAGTCTTAAGTGTGTGTTGAGGGGTGTAAAAATGTGTCAGGATGAGTTAAAGTGTGTTCAGGCAAGCTATTAGTGTGGATGTCAGAAGAAAATTGTAAGCATGTGTCGGGGAATGATAAACATGTCCAAGGGGAGTTATAAGTATACATTGGGAGGGGTTAGAGGTGAGGTATACTTGTTAGTCGAGTGTTTTACTAGACCCATTCTTCTGAACTGAAGGGACTACATTAGTCACCACCCGTGTAGCTGGTAGGCAGTTTTCTCTGATATTTTTTTCATCATACTTCAAAAGCACCATTAATGAAGGCTCAGTCCGATTCTTTAGCTGTAATTGTTGAGTACTGTTGAGTCGGTTCTGACTCATAGCAACCCTGTATAAGGTTTCCAAGGAGTGGCTGGTGGGTTTGAATCGTCAACCTTGTGGCTCCAACTGACCTTGCATTCCAGCGCATTATCCTGCAGCACCATGCCAAGACTCTGATTCTTTAGTGAGAGGTAGTAGATAATTGCTCTACAGAGTCTGCTCTTACTGTCCCTTTACTTTGAATTTCAGAAAACTCTGGAACGAGAGACACAGCAGTGCCAGGCTCTGGTGATCTGGACTGACTGTGACAGAGAAGGGGAGAATATAGGGTTTGAGATTATCCACGTGTGCAAAGCTGGTAGGTGATGTCACTTGTGAGTTTTCTTACTTTGGAATCACATAAAGAGCTGTTATCCTGTATCTGTGCATACGTCGGCCACTGCCAAGTTCTTCCACATGTACCCTCCCTTCTAAATCACTCATTGGGTCTTGAAGTGGGAAGAGTTAACAAGTATAAAGCGTTTAGCCCACAGCTTATCACGTGGTAGGTCCCAAGTAGATTGGCTGCTCCTTAAAGACAGGGCTTCATATTTATTTTTTTTCTAATTATATGTTGAAAGTGTAACAAAATATAAATGAGTACATAGATTATTTCTTTTAGGAAGATCTACATGAGACTAGTCCCTGTGAGGTGGAGATTAAAGATACCCCAAATGTCCGACTTTTCCAAAATGTTTGTACCACTCCATAATCCTTGCTATCCAGCACCACTCCTCCCCTCCCTCAGTCCCAGGCTCTGCAGTGTGCCGCAGTGGCTCACAGAACCCACAGCTGTCAAGGAAGTGACTCATGCGACTGTGGAGACTGTAAGTCCCAAATTCCTAGTGCAGAGGTCAGTCTGGAGAAGTCTCCTCACCCACAGAGGCTCAAGAAGTTGAGGAACCCAAATCAGCAGGTCAGATGACAGGCTGTTGTTGATAAGTGAGGCTTTGGGAGCTGGTGAATCACATTAGGTCCAGAGACTAGAGGGCAGACCTGTTGAGCCAGGTGCAAGATTAAGACCAACAGAGCGGACTTTGCCAAAGCAGTCCAAGATACTGGAGTCAGAACCTACTCCACAGCATACAACCATAGGGTTGGTTTCCAACGCTGTAAATCTTTGCAGGAGCAGAAAGCTTCATCTTTGACCTGTGGAGCAGCTAGTGGGGCTCTAACTGCTGACCTTGTGGTTCGCAGTCTAGTGCTTATCTTACAAAGCTACCACACTCCCCTCTTACACTGTTGCTAAATTGTTGTTAAATGCCATCGAGTCGATTCCGACCCATAGCAACCCTCTAGAGGGTTTCCAAGGAGCGACTAGTGAGCTTGAACCACCAACCTTGCAGTGTAGCGCATTAACCCACAGCGCCACACCAGGACTCCCCTCTTATACACCATGAATTTAACCCTATCAGTAAAATGAACTCGCAGATTCTAGGTGGCGTAAGAAAAGGGAGCCCTTTGCCCTGTTGTGATGAGAGGAAATGTGGATTCCTATGACCTGGCTCTGTTTTTCAGTGAAGCCCAGTCTGCCGGTACTGAGAGCCCGGTTCTCTGAGATCACGCCACAAGCCATCAGAGGAGCCTGTGAGAACCTGACAGAGCCCAACCAAAGAGTAAGCGATGCTGTAGACGTGAGGCAGGAACTGGACCTACGGATTGGTGAGGACCACACACCTGGGATTTAAGGGCTAAGTTGTAGTGCATGTCTGCAACTGACTTCCCCCTCACTGTCCCTCCCTGCCTGTGTCCAGGTGCTGCCTTCACAAGATTCCAGACCCTAAGGCTCCAGAAGATTTTCCCAGAGGTGCTGGCACAACAGCTGATCAGTTATGGCAGCTGCCAGTTTCCAACACTTGGGTTTGTGGTAGAGAGGTTCAAAGCCATTCAAGCTTTTGTGCCAGAAACCTTCCACAGAATTAAAGGTAAGGGGATGTTGATAGCATGGAGCCGGTGGGCCTGGAATAATAGAAAGGCCATTGAGCACTCAATAGATGGATGACTTCTAGTCTTGTTATACCATTGTCTTATTGTTAAGTGCTGCAGAGTTGGTTCCAACTCATAGCAACCTGCATTGGTTTTCTGAGGAATAAGTTGGTGGTTTGAACTGCTGACCTTATGATTCTCAATCCAGTGCCGATCCTACAGTGTGCCACATGGCATTGTCTTAGTTATGGACTGCTACTACAACAGCAGTGTAACAAGTGGGTGGCTTTAACAGATTTATTTTCTAGCAGTTTCAGAAGCTGCAAGTTTAAATTCAGGGTGCCAACCCTAGGGGAAAGCACTGGGGGATTGCCCTTGCCCTTGTCTCTCTTCCTTTGTCCTTTGGTGATCTTCATGTGCCTGGAATACCTCCCCACCCCTGCCAGGCTTCTCTGTGCCTAATCTGCTCAGTTTATATCTCAAAACTGGTTAAGACACACCCCAAACTGATTGAGCCTCATTGACAAAGAAATCCCTATCCCCAAATTTGGTTATATCCACAACTATAGGGGTTAGAATTTACAACATTTATTTTTAGGGGACACAGTTCAATCCATAAAAGGCCTGGAGCCAGAGGGTCCAGCAATAAGAGGGACCTTGGAGCAGCCATATTACTAGTTAGATGTGCAGCTTCTAGTCTTGGCTGCCTGTCATTTTGTTCCTTGTGGTATAAAGAATCCACTTGAAGTTTCCTTAGTGGTCAAGAAACTTTTCTATTTCATCTTTCTTTTTTTGTGAGTTGAGTGAAAGTTTTCAGGGCAGATCATCAGTTTTACATTCAGCAACTTTGTTTCATTACAATGATTATAATTCCCTCCATGTACCATCAGTTAACAGTATTTGTTTCTATTCATTTTAGATCTTTTTAAAAAAAACACTCAGACAATATATAATAATTTGCACCCCCAAAGGGCACCTTCTGCAAGTCTGCCACCTGGCTGCCAGCTCTCAGTCCCTCTCTTCCCATGAAATGAATCTAGAGTCCTCAGCTGCTCCTTCTCCATGTCCCTATCTCTGCATCCATCTCTGGTGTCACTGCTTCTCTGGATAAGGTCCTGCATTCCGCTTGTGCTCTTCTCCCTAAATGGTCCTAGGGTCCTTTGTTTCTGAACTATTTCATCTTTCTTGACTTTCCCTTTTAAGTATTGGGTTGCTAACTGTAAGGTTGGCAGTTCAAGCCCACCAGTTGCTCCTTGGGAAAAAGATGAGGCTGTGTACTCCCGTGTAATTTATGATCTTGGAAATCTATGGATTTCCAGTATGAGTCGGAATCAATTTGATGGCAGTGGGTAGATTCTCCACCTGAATATTCTCATTTTTATTGGGCATAACATCATGTAGCTTCTCTGCTTTCCTGCTTGTCTTTTCCGATACAGTAACTCATGAGCACAAAGATGGCCTTGTAGAATTCAACTGGAAGAGACATCGGCTTTTTAACCACACAGCTTGTCTCGTCCTTTACCAGCTATGTATGGAGGTAAGAAATATGTCTTAATCATCAGCACCTAGGAAGAAGTCTCTTCTCAGGTCTCAGCGCCTTCTCTTTTGGCAGAGAAGGTCTTGTCCCTTTTTCCCACTGAACTGGAGCTTTTTCTGTGTTCTGTAGGTTTGCCTTTTGGGGCATCAGTGTTTCAGAACCAGTAGGACTAGAACCCCATGAAAACGACACTAAAAGTATGTAAGGAAAGGATCTACTCCTGTCTGTATGCAGTGTTAAGCTTAGATAAAATCAGCAGTGTGCAGAACTGTTTCATACAGTGCCTTCCTGGAGATGAACAGATCACCAGAGCTTCATCAAGATTGAAGTCCCAGACACATAGAGCTGGAAGGACAGGACAACATCTGGTCTAGCATTTTATTGCATTGGTCAGATAAGGACATCTAGAGAGAAAACAAGCATGCTTGTCACGTTTTTATTGAGAATCCACTGTGTGCCAAGCATTGCTTGTGTTAGTTGCTGGGGACACAGCAGTGAACAGGGGAGATAAAATCACCACCATCGTGTGGGGAAGCAGGAGAGCCCACAAGTCACAGTGAGCAAGTAAACTTCCAGCAGGATAAGTGCCATAAGGAAAGGAAAGCAGAGACAGGAGAAGACCAGCCTCCGAGGCAGGAGGGAGATGGAGAATCTTTAGGTGAGGTGTGCATGAAAGGCCTCTGAGGGGCAACAGGTGCGAGTAAGACTGACTAAAGCATTAAAGGCGGCAGCCAGAGGAGGATCTGGGGCGACAGCGCTCTAGGTTGAAGCAGCTCAGCATCAGCTCTGCCTCCACATTCCCTTGACCCTCAGATTATCCGCTTTGTGATACCATCCCATCAGTCAGAATGGAAAGACCTCGATCCATCCAGGGCTCCACATTGTGTCAAATCCACAGACTTTTGGTTTGTTCGGCCATAAGTGACTCTAGTCCAGTAGCAGGTGTATTATTGATTTGGTAAAGGAGACTAATGATCATTGTGCACCAGGCACACTTTATGTTGCATGTTACTTAATCTTCATATGCTTGTGAGGGTAGTAACAGTATCCATTTTACAGATGAGGAAAGTGCAGTTAAATAGCCCAATCACACTAAACTAGTAATGTACAGTGCAGATTTGAGTCCAGTATTATCAGCTCTCTAGCTCATGCTCTTGCCATATTCCACACGACCTCCTGGAGGCCCCTGTTTACCCACACCATTGGAGCCTCAATGACACTGCACATTCATCTGATAACAAAAGGCACCTGCCCCTTTGATTCCACCAGGAAGTCCAGGCAGGGTCCCCACTCTGTGTTACTAAGGAGAACTTGGGGTTTTGATACACACAGATCATCACATCTGCTCAGTTCTCTATCCATTTACAGCCTCTTACAAGTGTGAAGTTTTCTTTAAGATTGGAGTTCCCAGCTTATATTGTGTATTTTCTCGTATCTCTTCCTTTATACTATCCTGAATTTTTTTGAAAAATCAACACTGCATAGGCTTCAGAAGTGTACAGGCTGCTTGTTTCCCAGGCTCCTGAAAAGAAATGCAGGGCTGTGTATTTACCCTGCAAACACTTGGTTTGTCTGGAAGGGTGGAAACGATTCCCACCATACTATTGGCTAAAAGCCTACCTCAGCTGGCAGCACTCCTGTCTGCACCAGCTGAGGTGGTGATTGATAACCACCCATGATGCTGAGCCGTCACAAGAAATCAGGGGTGATGTGCCAGCAAGTCAATGTGGTCTTCTCTCTTCCTGGCTTTCTAGAATCCTGTGGCAACCGTGGTGGAGGTCCACTCTAAGTCGAAGAGTAAGTGGAGGCCTCAAGCTCTGGACACCGTGGTATGTTCTGGATGGATATTGCCACCACTGGGTAACATCAGCATTCTGTTGTTTGTTATGCAGCACAGACTTGTGGAAGGAAGCTTAACCCCTTACAGACCACACAGGAAAGCATTTCGGAAAATCCAAAACATGGGCCTGCATGGCCTCATGTGTTTTTCTTTTTCTTTTTATATGATAAAAGCTTTTATTTTAATGAGAAAATAAATACACATTGTTTTCTTTCCAGTATGTGAACAAAAAATAGCAATTTCCTTTTTTTCCACTTTCTTGTCATCTTCCTTCCTCTTCTTTTTAACTACCTTCCCCCTTTACCCAAGTTAGAACGTGTTTTCTTTTTTGTTCATGTCATTTGTTGTATGATTTTTGCTGTTGAGATGATGATATACTACATCATTTTCTATGCATACAGTTGAGTGATACTGGCTCATTCTTTGAGTTGTGCGATCATGCGGGCTGACTCTCCTTTTCTGACTCGTTTCCCCTCACTGACATAGACTCACTGAGTCTGCCAAGTATCATGTCTTTTGAGTTGCTGTTATCATTTTGAACCCCTAGACATAGATCTTAAAAAAGCATAATGCTCAGGACAAACATCTACTAGTTACGCTAAACTATTGTTTGATTTTTACATGACTTCAGGTGATAGTTTTGGATTAAAATGTAAAGATTATCTCAGGGCAATAATTCAGCTATCCTTCATGGCTCTAGAAAATCTGGACTCCATGAGAATTTTAAATTCTGTTCTACATTTCTCCCTATTTGTTCAAAATGTTCAGCAGTAGTACCTTCCTAGTTTTTGGGTTTTTTTTAAGTTTTTATTGTGAATTATGTGATAATTTACATGGGAGAACATTAGCTTTACATTCATCCTATCTTATATCATTTCATTGCCATGATTACAATCCCTTCCACGCATCATTAAACAACCAAAGAGTACACCCGCAAGCCTGCCCCTCCATTTTCAGCACCTAGTTTTTTAATATGCCTATTTTTGACAGCATTATAACCAGAATACCTTGTGTTTTTCACCCAAGCATTTCTTCCGCATTGCTACATAGTAGTGTAAACATCCTTTTAAATGTCGTCTATCAAACCAAACGTAGAACAGGGCTTCTCAATCATCTTAATCCCAATGAGGACCATCCCCATGGGACACAAGCCTGTATAAATCCGAGGAACAATTTTTCAGGGAAATTCTAGTTATCATTGAGCTGAGTCACCTCTGGAGGTGCACCACACATGGAGGGGCAGGGGGGAACGTTAGGGGTGACTTTATAGAGCAGGCAGGTGTGTTTTATTCTTTGCTGGTTAAAATGCACTTGTCATACTGTGAGCAGCGTTCTTGGAATGTCATCAAGGGAAAAGAACAGCTGGTAGCCTCCCAGGAAGCGTTGGAGAATGTTACTCATCATTTAGGGAAATTAACTGGGACTTGGGGTGGTGCTTCCTAACTTGAGGTTCTCTGGCTGCTTCTTTTTGTCAGTCTGCTTGTGAAAATGCTGGCTTCTGGCTGCTCTTCCACCCCGTATCAGAACCTCTGGTAGTCAGGGCTGTAAGTCAGCTTCCTTCCCAGGAGTCTGAGAGTCCTAAGCTGGGGTCTGGCTCAGTGGGCAAGTCTGGAAGTCTGCCTTGAGCACACTGGAGCCTTCCCTTTCTCAGCAGCAGGCACATGTTCATTGAGTGCACAGACTGCTGCCCAAAGCCAGAGCTGCCAGGGAGTTTGTCTGTAATGAGAAGTCAGTGTGTGCTGCATGCCATCTCTCCCTCACACAGCTATGTGGACAGCCAGACAGGACTTGGAAGTGGCTTTATTGGTGTGTCGTGAGATGCCCCTCTCTGTGGGATCAGGAATGTCTGGTCCAAGTTTGTTTAATTCTTGTGTCCTCTCTGGACCCATCACCTTGAGTTGATTGGTGATCAGATATTAGAGCCAGGGGTTTGAATAAGGTTTAAGACAGTTTAGTATAGCTGTATGTCTGTCTCATGATTCTATTTCTTGCCCATAGACCAGAATCTCAGAACTTGATGAATCTTAATGCATTAAGTTACATGTCAGCCATTCGTCCTCAGGTGATTTTTCACCTCAGTGCATCAATTTTACAGTCTCCCTTCTTTTCCAAGTATATAGGGGTTGCCTCCTCCTGAGTCCATGTCCTTTCTTGAGACAGGCCTCACTTCTAGAGAGAGAGATTCAAATGAATGAGTAACTGGCTTTGATAAGGTAGACATGATCTATTAACACAAATTCTATTCACCTACTCATTTAGTGATATTTTTTAAGAATTTAGGCCCTGGGAACATAAGGGTGGACCAAGCTGACAAAGTCTTTGTCCTGTCTGCTCCGTGCTGGCATGGTCAGCACAGCGGTGTATCACTGAGAACACAGAACTCTGTTGAGTAAGTGTGTTTTTGGAAAGGTGTCTGTCCATGGTGAGCCTGTAAGGAGACAACAGGAGAACCAGAGTCAGCCTGTAGAAAGGCCCCACGTCCAGGAGGCAGAGTGTGTCGGGGCAGAGCATGTGTGGCTGGAAAGGAAGCGGGGCAGATTGTGGAGAGTTATCTCAGGCTGAGACTGACAGAAATGTCCTCAAATTCTAGATAGCCTGTGATCCTAGAATGAATGTCAAAAGGCAGTACCTTGTGGAAAAATAAATAATAACAGAAAGGCCAGTGGCCTTCATGTGAGCCATAGAATCAGTTCCACCTGGACAGCTCCTTTGGGCCATGGTCACATCCACTCCAACAGCTGCTTTCTGCAAGCTGTGATCAGTTGCTGACTTCCCGACAGGGATGCATTCTCAGACCTGCAGGTTCTGTGCTCAGTTGGCTGGTGGTGGTCCCAGTGGAACTGGTATGGACACTGAGACAGACTGCATATGTGGTGTGAGGAGAAATGCGCAGAAACTGGAGAAACAAAACTGAGTGGTTCCTAGAGGCCAGCACCTGGACTTACCTTATCTGAATCCTTGCTACAACCTGAGATGTGGACATTGTGACTTTGTTGTACATGCAGGAAGTTAGGACTCAGAGCAGTGTTGCCTGTGGCTGCAAGTTAGAATTCATCTGTAGACTCCAGTGCCCACTGTGCTTGTCCCATAGTATGCTGGGCCAGTGAGTTGGGGACAGACCCCTCTGTGCACTATGGATCTAGATAGGACTATGGGCTAAGGACTGGATTTAGCAGATGGATTAGCCTGGGAGCCAGGGAAATGTCATGATTTCTCTTCCCCAACCTTGGAGTTTCTGAAATACTGGTCTACTTTGGGCCTGGGACTCTGGATTTTCAGGAGCCTCACAGGTGCTTCTGATGTGCAGCCAGGTTTGCGTGCCCTTGTTTCCTTCACACTTCGCTTTCAAAATTCCCCTGCAGTACTGCTAAAGAATTCTAAGTCCCTTCCCTAGAGGTGGATTTTGTAAGTCTGTTGGAATCTGAAATCTATATTTTTTAAGAATAGTCGGGTTTAAGAAATAGTGCTCATTTAATTCTATAGATGAGGAAACCCAGACCCAGAAAAATATGATAGCTGACCAAAGCACTGACACCTGTCCGTCCCCCTCTCTCCACATACTAGGAAAGACTGTGGGGCCCAGGGTTCTGCCAGAGTTGGCACTATTGGATTTGTCAGTAATTCAGAGTTATGTTTAAATATGAGGGATCACAGTCAGTAAACATGTAAGTCATGTAAAATGAATGCTGGACTCAGGACTAGGATTGCATGCAGGTTCGACCCAGAAGGCAGGGGATGTGACTCTCAGGACAAGGCAGGTTTTGCATCTTTTCCCTAGTTGTCCCTTGTCCCTGAGGATTCTTTCCCCATATGAGAGCAGCAGCTGGTGTGAAAGGAGTGGAACATGCTCAGGAAGATGTGTGTGTGTTGCTGGGTGCCCTGTAACCTCCAACACCCTAACCCATCTCCTGACTCACTTCACAGGAACTCGAGAAACTGGCTTCACGCAAGTTAAGAATAAATGCAAAAGAAACCATGAGGATTGCCGAAAGACTCTACACTCAAGGGTACTTGATGCATCTTTATCAGGATGAAATATTTTAGAAATGGGTAGCATGTCACACTGTAGCATAAACACTAAACTGGTAACTGCAAGGTCAGTAGTTCAAACCTGTGGCTGCTCCTTAGAAGCTATACTTGCAGGCTGTAAGTTGCAACCGACTTGAGGGCACTTAACAACTTAGTGTAGAAGGGGAGCACAAATGGTCTAGGAATCTGCCACCCTATATTTGAAGTGGGAGCATGGTGGCTCTGCAGAGTCAGCACTGGACTGCTAACCTCATGGTTGGCATTTTGAGCCCACCAATTGCCCCATGAGCTTTTCTGCTCCTGCAAAGATTGACAGCCTTGGAAACGATATAGGGTTGCCATGAGTCAGAATGGGCTCGAGAGCACTTAACAGCAACACATGAAGTGAAATCATTGTGACACTGACTCCCCCCTCCTGATTTGGAAAAGGGACTCCAAATCCATTATTCCCAAAATCAGAGCCCCAGAGTACACCCAGAGCCTCCTATAGAGCCCCCAGCACCTCTCAGTAGTGTCTGCTGTAATAAAACAGCCCTTCCTCGGATGCTGAGCACTGTAGCCACATGCCTCATTCAGCCGTGGAATTGGGGTGGTCTGAGTTGAGATGCACTATCAGTGTCGGTCACACTGGATTGCAGACTAGGAATGAGGAAAAGAATGTCATTGATCTCATTAGCCATTTTCTTTATTAATTACTATGTTTTAGAATCTTTTTACTGATTTCAAGTGGCTACTGTTGTTAGTTACGATCAAGTCAATTCCCACTCCTGTGACTCCAGGTGTGTCATGGTATAATGGTGCCATCAAGTGGTCAAGGCTGTTACCTTTCAGAAACAGAGCACCAGGACTTTCTTCCAAGAGTTCTACCAGCCATTCAATTAGTCATTGAGCACTTAACTGTTCACGCCACCTAAGAATCCCAGTGTTTCGACAGAAACGGTGTCATAAGATAGAGGGTCCACATAACTATAATTCCAGATACACATGATGTCAGGTTGTCAGGGCAGCAGAGCCGAGCTGTACCCCTGCTGCCATGCCAGAGCAGAGTTGTCCCCAGTCTGTCCTGGGCCACTGGTCTTCCACCACGCTGCAGCAGAACCTGCTTGCTGCTTCCACTCACCAGGAACACAGTGCAGGAAGTCTTGGTGTACTGATCCAGGTGGCTGGGTCAGGTGGGCATTTACAGAAGTCACCAGAGCTTTTGATCTAGCTGAACTGCTGCTTGTAGGCTGATGAAAGGACCCTGTCACTTCTTTGACTTTATTTACCTTTGTTTAGGTACATCAGCTATCCTCGAACTGAAACAAACATTTTCCCCAGAGACCTGAACCTGATAGTGCTGGTGGAGCAGCAGATCCCGGATCCACGCTGGGGGGCCTTCGCCCAGAACATTCTAGAGCGGGGTGGCCCTACCCCCCGCAACGGGAACAAGTCCGACCAAGCCCATCCTCCCATTCACCCCACCAAATATGCCAGCAACTTGCAGGTTAGTTCTTAACTATGCTGAGGGATTATTAGTAAGATTTGGATTGACTTTGTGTGCTCCTGTGTGAGGAAGTTAGTGATTTTGAAATACCTCTTACATGTCAGAAAAGAGAAGTCCGTGTCAGAGTTCTGTTCCGCAGTCTTCCAGAATGAGCTGCACCCGAGCCAGCTGTACTTGCCCACACTGTCAGGTGCTCTCGGGTTTCTTCACTGACGCTCCACACACAGAGACTGCCTTAGACACCTTCTCTGTGCCTTTGTGGAGCCTCGCACCCATAGTCCCTGCCACACCCACATCCATATCCCTCACCACGCCCGGGGCCATGCTTCCACTGTGCCGTACACAACTGCAGTGCCTTGTTAGTGATTAGAAACCTGTCCGTCCTTCCAAGATGGAATCAATGTCCATCTCCATCCCGAAACTTGAACCCACACTCTCGTCATGCTTGTAGACACTGTGGAGTCATCACACTTAGCTGTGCCAATTGTATCACACATGTCAGTAACTCCCTCAGCTGGAGAGTGAGCTCCGTGAGGGGAGGGGCTGCTTTAGCTTTCCTGTACCTGCAGGCTTGTAAAGTTAAGTACATTTAGGTTTGTTTTTCCATCTAACAATATGTGTTGTTCTTTATGATTATAGACATAATACCTATTCATTTCAGACAATTTAGAAAATGCAGATGATAAATAAGCAAAAATATGACTAATACCCCGCCCTTCTTCAAAAACCACCTTTATTTCCAATGCATGTAATATTCTTAAAATTAGAATCTTAAATAACTTTGTAAACTTTTTTCCATTTTATATAATTTGGGTTTTTCCCAATTTTATATCATGAGCATTTCCCCATATGCTGAAAGATTCTTTAAAAGTATAATTTTTAATGATTAACAATCATTTGTACATACATATTTGTGCCAGTTTCTTCTTCTTAGCTCCTTGGTATGAATGGAGCTAAGTTCTAAAACTAAATCAGGAAAACAATAACATTTACAATAGCCACATAAAAGATGAAATACTTTGGAATAAATCTAACCGGAGAAACAAACGATCTATAACAAAGAAAATTACAAAACACTACTACAAGAAATCAAGAGACCTGTAGAAATGGAAGAATATACCATGCTCATGGTTATGAAGATTTAACATTGTGAAAATGTCAACACTTCCCAAAGCAATCTATAGATACAATCCAATCCAGATTCTGACATCATTCTTTAAAGAGATACAAACACTAATCAGTAACTTTTTATGGAAAGGAAAGAGACCTGGATAAGCAAAGCATTACTTTTTTTTTAAAAAGTAGGAGGCCTCTTACTTCCCTATCTCAAAACATACTACACAGCCACAGTAGTCAAAACAGCCTGAGACACATAGACCGACAGAACAGCATTAGGAAGCTCGAAGTAAATCCATCCACCTCCCGTCAGTTGATCTTCAACAAAGAGCCAAAATGCATTAACTAGGGAAGAGATAGTCCCTTCAAGAGATAGTGCTGGCAAAAGGAGAACTCCATTTGTAGATGAATGAAACAAGACCCATACTAACATTGCAGTCCTGCACATTAACCCACAGCGCCACAACATGGGGAGTAGTATATTCTGCTCTGTTTAGAACTTTTGACTTGAAGGACTTGACCCAGGTTTAAACCACTGATGATGCTGATACCCTTGAGAGTTAATGTTCTAGAAGGAGTTTCAAATTCTCTTCTTTTCTTCATAGGGAGATGAGCAGCGATTGTATGAGTTCATTGTTCGCCATTTCCTGGCTTGTTGCTCACAAGATGCCCAGGGGCAGGAGACTACTGTTGAGATCGATATAGCTCAGGAGCGCTTCGTGACCCATGGCCTCATGGTTCTGGCCCGGAATTATCTGGACGTGTATCCGTATGATCACTGGAGTGACAAGGTGAAGGGTTCAGGTAGAGGTCAGATGCTGTGTCTCCAGAGTGTCTGATCCTGTGGGCCTCAAGGAGTAGGGAGACAATTCTGTTCCCAGCTCTAGTGCCATCTATGGAACAGGGCCATAATCTTTGAAATACAAGTTGTCTTTTCCTGAGTATGATGATAGCATGAGCTGACTGAAGCTTCTACCACTCTCTGCAGACTATCCCTGTGTATGAGAGAGGCTCCCACTTCCAGCCTAGCACTGTGGAGATGGTAGATGGGGAGACAAGCCCACCCCAGCTGCTCACCGAAGCTGACCTCATTGCCCTCATGGAAAAGCACGGCATTGGTCAGTATAACTTGCAGTCTGGAAACTGCCATCTCTGTCTCTCATTAGTTCCTCAGTACAACTCTGTCATGCAGGTGTTCTATTCCTACCTTCATTTATAATGGAAGTGAGGCTCGGAGAGGTTAAGAACTTACCTACAGTCAAAATATTAGTGAGTTGTGAACACCTGGTTTAGATTGAATAACTCCACAGTCATTGATTTTAGCCGGACTTTGAGGACCTCCTGTGGCAAACTGCAGAACTTGTCTGTTGATGTGTGGTAAGCAGGAACCCTGCAAGTTTTCTAAGTAAAGGAGCAACATAGGCAGATCTGTACTTGTGAAAGAAAACAGTCCATAGCTTTATTGAGACATAATGCACCTACCATCTCTGGTAGCGTAGTGGTTACGAATCGGGCTGTGAACCACAAGGTTCCGCGGGAGAAAGATGAGGCTTTCTGCTCCCGTAAAGATTTATAGCTGTTCCGCGAGAGAAAGATGAGGCTTTCTGCGCCCGTAAAGATTTACAGCCTTGGAAACCCTGTACAGGGGTCACTATGAGTCGGAACCGACTCCATGGCATATAATAACAACATATAATTTACTCATTTAAATTGTACAGTTTTGTGAGTTTTCGTGTATTCACAGACTTGTGTGACCATCAGCATAATCTGTTGTAGAAGATTTTCCTCACCCTGAAAGAAACCTTGTACCCTCTAACTGCCACGCCCTGTCCCCGGCCCCTGACAAGCAACCATCTGTTTTCTGTCTGTGGGTTTGCCTATTGTGGACATTTTATGTAAATGGACCAATACCCCATGTGGCCTTTTGTGACTGACTTCTTGAACTCGGCACAATGTTTCACAGTTCCTCCATGCAGTGTGCCATGTGTCAGAACTTCATTCTTACGGCTGAATAAGTTTCCATTCTGTAGCTAGACCTCATGTTTACCCACACATTGGGGTTGTTTCCACTTTTGGGTTATTATGAAGAATGCTGCAGTGGGCATTCATATACAAGTTTAAGTCTTTTTAGTAATATACCTAGCAGTGAAATTCCTGGGTTGTATATCAGTTCTGTGTCTAACTTTTGAGGAACTGCCTGACTTTTCTAAAGTCACTGCACCATTTACAGTAAATCAGCCAGCGATAGATCTTGTTATATCACATCCTTGCCAACACTTGTTTTTATCCGACTATTTTCCTCTAGCCATCCCAGTGGGAGTGAAATGGTCTCTTGTGGTGATCTTGATTGCATCTCATTGATGAGCACGGTGTAGAGACTGTCTTGGGGAGGGGGAAACTGGGAATGGGATCGTGCACATGAGTTGATGTGGCTGCATCCTGGCTCTGTTCCACAGAGAGTGGAGGAGAAGGGCTGGAGGGAGGCATTTAAGGATGGACTGATGGTGGGGGCAGTGGTGACAAGTGCACAGACGTGAGAGAGAAGCACAGCTGCCATTGTGAGCATGTGCCTTACAAGTCAGGTCAGTACAAGTCTTGTTGGATTGAGGTGCTCTCCAAGTGACTACGAAGTGACTTTCAGGTACTGATGCCACCCACGCGGAGCACATTGAGACAATCAAAGCCCGGATGTACGTGGGGCTCACAGCAGACAAGCGGTTTCTCCCAGGGCACCTGGGAATGGGGCTTGTGGAAGGTAAGGGGGAGGGACCAGCAGGACACGGGTGGGGCACCATGTCCTGCTGGTCCCCATAGCACTGTTCTCCTTACAGGCTATGATTCCATGGGCTATCAGATGTCCAAGCCAGACCTCCGGGCCGAGCTGGAGGCTGATCTAAAGCTGATCTGTGAGGGCAAGAAGGACAAATTTTTGGTCCTCGGTCAGCAAGTCCAGAAATATAAGCAAGTTTTCATTGAAGCAGTAGCTAAAGCTAAGAAGTGAGTCTGCCTCAGGGTTTATTGGACTTGTTTGTGATGACAATGGTTACCTAATAAAGAAGTTTAGGGGGAATGATTCGGCAGGTAAAAACGGTGGTGCCATTCCTTACAACCTATGGGCTTCGGAGTGCTGGTCCCTGCCAGATGAGGTCTTCCTCAGCTGATCTGTGCCTGGCCACGTATCAGCTCTGCCTCTTTAGGTCTGCCTTCTCTGGGCTTTGTCTGTTCCTTTCCATAGGGCTCACCACAATTTCAGAACAATAATCAAAAAGACCTGGCCCAGTTATCCTGGGTTGTTCATGTTAGAAATTTTCTCATGCTGCCTGCCTTGAATTGTGGGCAGCATGCTCTCTCAGGTGCTGGCATGTGACTGCTTGTTTTCTGGAGGCTTTGGGGTACTCATTTAGCAGCAGCATGTGTTGTTTTTATTAGAAATAAAATGATTTCCACCATGTGCCAACTTTGAAAAGATAGGCATAAACTGGTTTAAACTCAAACCGTACAGACACTTGTGGACTATGTGCATGGATGCACAGTTTTCAGTTTAGTGTACGGCAGTGATGAGGCAGGAAAGGAGCCATTTCTTTATCTGACTGTAGCTGAGCTCCCTCCAGAGCTGCCCAGGAACCTGGGAGTCAAGGAGTCAGCACTGCTTAGTGAGCTCAGCCCTCTCTGATCCTGTCCTCTGTGTGGACCTGTGGCCACAACAGCTGTCTGGATCCTAAGGTTTCATGCATTCTCTCTCCTTGTATGGATGCTACAAATGCCATTGCCACAAGAGCTGGCTGGGATGAATCTTTGTCTTTTTCTGCAGGTTGGACGAGGCCTTGTCCCAGTACTTTGGGGAAGGAACTGAGGTGCCCCAGCAAGAAGAGATCTACCCTGCCATGCCAGAACCCATCAGGAAGTGTCCTCAGTGCAACAAGGACATGGTTCTCAAAACCAGGAAAAACGGCAGGTCAGTGGTCAATGTCTGCCCCTCTACTTGCCCAGCCTCTGCTGTGTTGATCAGACAGCTCTCTGAGAGGCCCCGGTTCTTTTATTTTTATGGCACTAGAGTAATAAGGCAGGTCTGCTGTCACTAGCCTGTGCAGTGGTCTTGTGGGAGATAAGAGGAGCAGGCTGGCATTTGACCTTTGTAGCATGGAATTCTGTGAGAATTTGAAGGAGAGGGAACTAGATGTCCTTTACCCAGTGTGTTTGAAGTGGAGGAGCATGACCCTGGAACCTGACGGGGTTCCAATACACTCTGCCACATGTAAGATTTATAGCTCTGTGTTTTATAATTACTCTGAGCCCTAGTTTCTTCTTTAATGAAATAAGGGCAATATTTGTTGTTGTTAGGTGTCATTGAGCTGGCTCCAGCTCATAGTGACCTTACTATGCACAACAGAAGAAACGCTGCCTGGTCCTGTGCCATCCACACAGTTGTTACATTTGAGCCCATTGCTGCTGCCACAATGTCAGTCCATCTCGTTAGGATCTTCCTCTTTTTCGCTGACCCTCCACTTTACTAAGTATAATGTACTTCTGGACTGGTCCTTCCTGATAGATAATGTGTCTGAAGTATGAGAGAGAAATCCTCACTATACTTGCCTCCAAGGAACATTCTGGCTATACCTCTTCTAACACGTTCTGTTTGTTCTTGTGGCAGTCCATGGTACTTTGAGTAATCATCTAATTCTTCGTAATTCAAATGCATCAATTCTTCTATGATCTTTCTTATTCATTGTCCAACTTTCACATGCACATAAGGCAATGGACAATACCCTGTCTTTGCTCATGAACACTTTGAAGATGTTTTGTGCAGCAGATTTGCCCAGTGCAGTATGTCGTTTGATTTCTTGACTGCTGCTTCCATGAGCGTTGATTGTAGATCCAAGTAAAATGAAGTGTTAGACAACTTCAATCTTGTCTCCATTCATCCAGGAGTTATTTATTGGTCCAGTTAGGAGGATTTTTGTTTGATTTACATTGAGGTGCAACCCATACCGAAGGCTGTGGTCTTTGATCTTCATCAGTATTTTAAATCCTCTTCACTTTCAGCAAGCAAGGTTGTATCATCTGCATATCGCAGGTTGTTAATGAGTCTTCCTCCAATCCTGATGCCATTTTCTTTATATAATCCAGCTTCTCAGGTTATTTGCTTAGCATATAGATTAAGTATAGTGAGAGACTACGGTTCTGGTGCACACCTTTCCTGATTCTAAGCCATTGAGTATCCCTTTGCTCTGTTTGAACAACTGTTTCTTGGTCTGTGGACAGGTTTCTCAAGAGCACAAATGTTCTGGAATATCCATTCTCTGCTTTTAGCCAAGATCCATTTGATATAAGCAGTGAAATCCTAGTTCCATGTCCACTTCTGAATCCGGCTTGAGATTCTAGCAGTTACCTGTTGATGTACTGTTGTACGTTTTTGAATTATCTTCAGCAAAATTTTATTTGCATGTGATATTAATGATACTGTTTTATGATTTCCACATTCCATTGGGTCACCTGTCTCTAGAATGGGCACAAATATGGATCTCTGCCAGTCAGTTGGCCAGGGAGCTGTCTTCCCAATTTCTTAGCGTAGCTGTGAGTGCCTCCAGTGTTGCATCAGTTTGTTTTGAAAGGTTTCAATTTGTATTCCATCAATTCTGGGAGCCTTATTTTTTGCCAGGCCCTCAGTGCAGCTTGGGCTTCTTCCTTCAGTATAATTGGTTCTTTTTTTTTTTTTTACATGGGAGAACTTTAGTTTTACATTCATTCCATCGTATATCATCTCATTGCCATAGTTCCAGTCCCCTCCATGCATCCTCAACCACCCAAAGGGTATATCTCAGAAACCTGCCCCCTACACTTCCCCCTTCTCCCCCAGTTTTCAGCCCACAGTCCCTTTCCCTCTCTGGGTCCAAAGTCCCCAGTCGCTTCATCACTCCACGTCATCATCTCTGTCTGTATCTCAGGCATCT